GCCTTAAGGGTTGTCGCAGTCTTGCTTCATCATCTGAGATTATGGAGGACTTCTATCTCTCCTTCAAGGATCCTGCGGAGGGGGAGAACTTTGCGTGAGCAGCTCGGGAGATTAAACTCTCTATGTTCCGGCACATCATAGTGGAACCACACCATCTGCCCCCAGACTCAGCGAGTGTTCTCTCTATTGCTGGCCTTGTAGATTTACTCGAGGCCCTCACCTTGACGCCTCCCACAGAGACCACTACACAGCCACATGTTCCTGCCCCACTACCTGCATCTTCGTCTCCCCTTCCTAATGCTCCTCTTCTCGTGTGGATTTCCACTCCACCAGTTAGTGTCCATGCAGTCATTCGCTGCAGAGAGAAGGCCTACAGACACTGGGCTGACTCCTTGCACAGGGACTCTAGTAATTTAGCTCGGGTGAGAATAGCTGAATCCTTCAGAGTGAAAAGGGAACGATGGGGAAACTTCATTTTGGACCTTGGGGGATCCTCACAGGAAGCTTGGGGTGGCATCCCAAATGCTCTTCAGCACCTTGTATAGCACATCCCTTCAAACTGGGGGGCACTGTGAAGGGTATGCATACTGTATATCATGATCAAGCTGTTAAATATTAGACATATTATACTGCATTATTATCTAGTATTGTTTCCTTTCTTTAATTCCTTATACTTTTCGAGCGTACCTTTATTTCTTAGTTCAAAGCTTTGTGTATACCTGTGGGCGCACTCAGCACCAGAAGAAAAGACACTTTTTACCCAGCAGACACCACCTCGTAACAACCCAGACGTCAAATAGTGAGAGGTGTCAAGGGTAACATCTCAGTTACCTATAAAGGTAGTGTCTTCTCACATACTAATAGTCTTTGGACTTGAACCACAAAGGTCGAGTCCCACTCTCAAGTCTTTGCACTCATCGACACTGTAGTCGACTTGTGCTGTTATCTCTCTACCCTAGATATTCAGTCTTTTGCTGATTATCTCTCTTACTTCTAGCTGCGAGTTGTACCGCAAAGGTCAACTCTTCTATTCTCTTGTTCTAGTCATCACAAGCAACTGTACAGTTGCTCTTGTGACATGTAGTGTGTCTCTCTACTAGTACTATCAGTCTAGTAACCCACTGTATTGTACTGAACAGTCAATACTTACTAATAGTAGTTGAATAAACACTATTCTTCATATATCGAGCAGTCAGAATCTATCGACTCTTCACAGTCTGTCTCGCCACCAGAAATATAATTCCCCTACTGTTTCTGGGATTTAGTTTGAGGCCATTGATATCATGGGGGAATTGAATACCCACCAATAGTCACCATGAGGAGGAAGTGGCCATTGGTCAGCCAACTCAGCCTTCCTCTAAACATTGTCAAAGCACTTTGTGTGAGTAATTGCCTTAACAAAGTCAAGGATATCTTTTCATTGCTATCTCTCTTGATAGACCAAATTTGTGGAGGCCGTTTCATCACCAGTTCACTTCAAAAGTGAAAGATGTGAAAAGTTGACTAATGTTGTCTAGATAGTTGACTGTGAGTGTCTTTCCATTCAGTGAAAACTTCACATCTTGCAGTTCATACCAAATGGGAATGTCACTATAGATTTGTTAATGAATTAATTATAGGTGTGCTGTTAACATTGAATGAAGGATTGATTTTCAATTGCACATCCAGTCTACTGAGATTGAATATGAGTATTTGTGAAGGTAAGCCTATGTCTGACATCCTCATTGCCTTGGACATCCTTCAATATCAGGATCAACTATACATATTTATATCAGTTATAATCAAGGGGCTCACTATCAATGCCAGCTTGTTCATGCTCCTTCCTTCTATGACTACAAACTTAAGCATGTGTGGTCTGTTTCTCTTCCATTTGAATCTTTGGGGTTTATTTTGATTGGTAACCCTCTTTTCATCATGCATGAAGAGACTCGTACCTATAGGATGTTGGATTCCCATTAGAAGACCCATGCTCCAAGGTCGTCTAATTAGCAATGACAATGCTGTACACTGCATAGTTATTGCCATCATACTGCATAAAATATAGATGTAGTCTATATAACTACCTTGACCACACGTCTCTGAATGGATTTTGGTTTGTTCATGTCAAAAGGTGGCATCCTGAATAGGACCATGTTACCTGTCGCTGACCAGATCCCATATACTGTAACTGGGCCATAAGATTAATTCTTTACTTCCTGGAAGTGTGACCTGTCTAAATGTTAGTAATATGAAAAGCTTTAAATGGGCTTTATACTCATACTTTGCATCTTATTGTATGTAGGTATAGAGCCAGACACAGCAAGTGTATCACCTTCAGGGCTGAATGTGGGGCAGCCAACAAGTGGTTCATTCCCTGACCATATGTTAAGTTCACAAACAAAGCTCCACGGATAGTCCCATGGAGGTTTCCAGTAAGTTATTCCGAACACACACTTGCTTCCGGGGATTGTCCCACGGAGTCCCTGGGCAATAAGTCCGGAGGAGTTTCCGGGGATTATTAGTACAAGGGAAGGTGGTATCAGAATAATTACCAGAAAGGTTGGTACGGGCTGAGATGGACTTGGCTTCAGCTTATACTGTAGGTTGCACCCTCGTACACTCATTCGGGTGTCCATATTTCGAGCTGACAGAATGCATACAGGAAGATATAGATTCCGGAGTTCCTGTGGGAGTTCTGGGAATCGAGCGTGCAGACAGACAAGAGGACTAGAGACTGTTCAAGGGCCAAACTTGTTCGGGGGAAAACTTGTTCGAGATTGAAACTGGATTCTAAGTACATGAAAATAGCAGACTTACATATATAGACTGTGAAATGTAATAATACCAAATCTGGTATTAATGAGAGGCAGAACTATTAAACATAAAATGAAACAAGTAAATACTAAACTGGGAATTAGGGATGGAATGGAATGGGAGCAGAGAACGAATTATGACAGGTCATTTAACCATAACTGGAGTGGGGCTCAGTTAGAGGGGTTCCGGAAGTCCGGTCAGAGTCCGGTGACTTGGTGCACAAGATAGTGTCGGGTATAGACAGGTTTGATGTGCAGGAGGTCTGGTGGAGTCTGATGGGTTTTCCAATGACTGGTGTGTGAGACGCAGAGACAGATCATAACAGGAGCAGGGTTCTATGCTCTGTTAGAGGGGTTCTGGGAGTCCAGTTGGAGTCTGGTGACTGGTACATAAGACACAGAGTGTCAGGTGTATGTAGGGTGGAGTCCGGAGTCCAGTGGAGTCTGAGGACTGGTGTATGAGACAAAGAGGGTTAGGTGCAGACAGGTGGGATGCGTACAGAGAGTCAGGCATAAACAAGTTGACATGTGGGCTCTGGTGGGAACTCCAGTTGTAACTATACAATATAGAGGGTCGGGAACATGTAGGACAGGGTCCGGGGGCCCGGAGGCTGGCGGGTTTTCCGGTTCCTGACACCATATCTGCACTCCTGTAGGAACAACGAGTTTCAGTTGACTCTGTTGGAATTAGTGATGAAGGGGCAGTTCACCTATTTCTTCACCTTTTCATAGGAGGATGCCAATTGTGGACCATGTTTTCTGAAGTAATGCATGCCAGAACCAGTGTACACCTAAACTAGCATCCTACCTATCATGTCAGAAGGTGATTCACTAACTGACACATTGATTGAAAAACAAGTACTATTATTACAAGCCTATTACCCACTTGTAGATTGTGTATTACAATAAGCCAACTCACACTATTTTTAATACAAAAAAAAAAGTAATGCTAGCAGTGTTTCCCAGGTATTAAGTGCTGTGTCGGGAACTTATTCCGGAACTATTGGAAAGTCACCGGGAAGTCAGGAACTATCGGATAGGGTCAGGACGTCGGCTTCAGCTTATGTGCTGCACCTCTACGCAAATGCTCAAAGTCCTTAATTTCAGAGGTAAGACTTACAATGGAAGATATGGATATTCAGAGTTCCAAAGAGTTCCAAATATCAAGCGTACAGAAAGACGGGAGAAGGAATAAGAAACTAAGTCGATATCAGATCTAAGGTAAAGTACAAATTCGCGGAAACTAATATAAGTCTACTCGTTATTGTACTACAAACTAAGACCATAATAAGACGGAAATGGAAGTGTTCTTAAAACAGAAATACAATAAGACATATTAGGGAGACAATATTCCGAAACGGGAATACAACAAACAAACGAGTGAATACTTGTCAACGGACAAATTACCAAATGCAGAACAAGGGAAGAACACGGATGATATGGTAACTGTGATGTCCCGTAGTCGGAGATCGGAAGTCGGAAGTCGGAGATCGGAAGTCGGAAGTCGGAGATCGGAAGTCGGAAGTCGGAGATCGGAAGTCGGAAGTCGGAGATCGGAAGTCGGAAGTCGGAGATCGGAAGTCGGAAGTCGGAGATCGGAAGTCGGAAGTCGGAGATCGGAAGTCGGAAGTCGGAGATCGGAAGTCGGAAGTCGGAGATCGGAAGTCGGAAGTCGGAGATCGGAAGTCGGAAGTCGGAGATCGGAAGTCGGAAGTCGGAGATCAGAAGTCGGAAGTCGGAGATCGGAAGTCGGAAGTCGGAGATCAGAAGTTGGATATTGAAACATCTGGGAACGGGTCGTAACACCAGGGTCAGGTGGTGTAATGGTTAACACCCCTGCTATATATGCAGAAGCCCCATGATTCATAAGATTCACATCGTAATATATACTGAACCACGACACCACCCTTGTAACATTCTAGATTTGAATGGGTTATTTTTTCCCCAATCCAGACTTATTTGTCATAATGCACTTAATTTTGTTGTACTAGTTTATACAGTAGCAAAAAGATACATTCATAAGGCTAAGTCAATACATCTTGGGGTGTGAACTTTGAATTTCCATATAGCTCTGCATATGGATGTTTGGTACTTGATGGCTAGTTCCATAATTCTTAAACATATTTAATGCACTTGGAAAAAGAGATATACATATATGGTTCAATAGTAACTCTTGAAGGAGCCTGTGATTTAACGGGAGAGAAATGCTGCCTCAGGGAAGATTCGAACTTGCAACCCTAACAGTCTTACCCAGGAGGAGCAACTATACAAGTCTAATGCTCAACCGACTAAGCTAACAAGGCGTTAATTGTAAGACCTGCATTCTAACAATGGAGGATATCTGAAAACTATTAAGTATACCAAATTCTAATATACTCTAAAGGTCATTTAAACATCTGAGATGTGATTCAAACATAATTTGGTTTTTAAAACTTTCAAAAAGTTTTAAACTCTCTCATACATTACAAACTAAAGAATCTTTCCGGACACAAGTAGACAATAAAAAGAATTAGTAGTTTGAAACACTAATACTTTTAAAAAATAGATACCTTTAGATAGTCCATTTCATGCATATGTATATTATTGGCACCTCTAAATACATATGTATTACTTCGGAATGGATCTGTTAATCTGAACAGATTTCTACTTGATTCAACATACCCAGAATATATAGGGGGTTTTACTTAATAAAGACAGCTGTGATATGAAAAATTTCCAATAATATTTTACATATTTTACATGGAAATAACTACATTTCAACTTTTAAAAAACAAAGTACTAATAAAAGTATTAGTAGGCATCTGTAAAAGGAAGGAAATTATATACAATGGAATTTGTTAAATAACTATGGGTTGTATAAGATGTAATATGGAGAACTATTTCTGATGGTTATTTTTTGATGATATAATTGTTTCAGAATAGATATCACTATTTAAAGATGGAGTTTTGTAAAAATAAGACTTTTATTAGTAAATATTTGAGATTATAGTAATTATAAACACCCTCCTAATAGATGTTTCATAAAATTGAAAAGAGTGCCATGAGAAAGTATCTATTACATTATCCAATGGCAAAGGAAGTGCTTAAAGAATCTATTGAAATTATGAAAGAGTTCAGTATACCTGATGTTCTGGATACCAAATATCACAATCCTTTAGAAGCTATTAGACTATCTTTTGAATCCTCTAACACTTCACATATTTTTTGTGACAATGTAATTCTATGGTCTATTGGGGGGGACTTTAGAAATGATATATATAGAAAATGTAAAGTATATTTCTCACTTTCCTTTAAGATCAAATTACTACACTCAGATACTCTCAAGAATAATGATATCGCACCTACAAATACTCCTTACATCTCATACAAAATTTCACTATCTGAAGTTTCTATTGAAGATATAATAAAGTTCCTAAGAGAAACTATTTGTGATGAAATTATCTTACATGATATAGATATATCCCAAGATATACCCTATGTTACTACTAGAAAAGATGTTCTTAAACATATATTAAATAATGGAATAAAGGTAGAAGATATTGTTGATGATAGAAAAAAGGTTGGAGACAATTGTATATCCTTCTACAATGAAGATCACTCATGTAGGATCAAAGTATACAATAAATTTGTACAAATGTTAGAAAGTTGTGATGTTATGACTACTCTGGGATCTAGAATCCATAATTTATATGTTGATCCTACCAATTCAATGTTACAATCACTAGAAAGATTAAAGAATGTAGGAATGACAAGAGTTGAAATTAAGTTCTATGGTAGAGAAGTATTTTCTAAGTCATGGTATATAGACAACTTTATCAGTATTAGAAACAACCTTAGTGGATGTAGATTCTACAGAAGTTCTTTTGAAGAACAATGGAAAGCACTTGTAGATAACATTTATTCCAAATCAATAATAATGATTTACTTGGAAGATAGAAGGTTTTTGTAAGGCTGTCGGTATCAGCCTCACTCGGTCAACACGGACAGGACTAAGTTTTCTTTATTTTTACATATCAGTAGGATACAAGGTGAATGCGAGGTTCCCTAGGGAAGAGTGGGGAAAGGATTAATGGTTAAGGAGAAGATATCCTATCACTATAGGATATGGGGTTTTATATAGAGAGTCAAGGCGAATGGGGTGGAAGAACAAGGAACCGTATGATCAGGCACAGGGGTGCTACTTAACAATAAAGTGGCGGATCAATGAGTGGCTGATGGGAGAGGTTGGTGATGATGACCACATGATAAGGCACAAGGGTGCTAAGTGGCGGAACAATGAGTGGTTGATGGGAGAGGTTGGTGATGACGTATGTGGTAAGGTGGCCAGGCTTACACCCTTCCCCCCTCTGAAAAATTTACAAGGGTTAAAGTTCAATGACATTTCTGGGGTTCTTGACAGAGCTGACGGAGAAATCAGAGAAGCTTGTGCCGGAGGAATGGGGAAGATGGTCTTGTGGAAAGGTTCGGAGCCAAGGTAAGGACTGATGGCGAACATCAGGGGCAATGCGCGGTAACACTATGTGTATGTTGTATAAAGGAAACCGACCACAAGGAAAGTGGGGGCGGAGTATATAGTGTACGTTGTTGAACTTGCAGGTTCGAAGTGTAGAATGGGGAGATGGGGCCCGGTGATGCGAATACTTTCGAGCGGAGGGGCCGATGGAGAGTTGGCGGCCAGGGGGGTGCGTGAAGCCGGTTATGTGATATTTACGATTTCGACGTGATTTCATTGGTGCGGATTGGTGAGTTTGTAAGAGGCCAGAAAGGGTCGTGAGCATCCCGGCATAATGTGCATTACAAGACCACCTCGGATCGTGGGCTTGCCGCGAAGCGTGAATGCACTTTTGATGCCCTGCGGACCGGCATTGGATGGAATTGTTTCGACGGAGAGTGTCCTGATGGGCGATGTGGCATGCAAGAAGAGCAGCTAAACCCGAATCAAGAGTATTGACACTTGTTATATTGGGACAGACGCGGGAAACGAAATAATCGCAGTGGTGGCGTAACAATGACAAGGAGCGTACAAGGTTGACTTTTCTGGAGCTGGGACAGTTTCGGGGGTACCGTTGAATTTGGCACGTGTGAGGGTGCAGGAAAGTTCATTTAGATCAAGGGTGACTTGGCGGCAGCTGTGTCTTTACATGTTCTTGGGTGAAACACACGGGACTGGAAAGATGAGATGGTTCAGTACTGTTTAGAGGGGTTGAAACGTAAACGTAGCGGGGTGGGGTTGAACGCATTGATATGCCAACAGACACGCTTGAGCCGGTGGGCGAAGAAGGCATGTGTGACGTTGACGCGGAAGAGTTAGAGGTTTGATCAGACGAGACGCTGTAGGAGCCGTGACGGGATGAGGAACAATGAACCTTTTTCGGCGTCCAGTATGGCAAAGGCATAATCCAGAACAGGGAGAAGATCAACTCGGATGGACTAATGGTATGTATCGTCCAGTGGTAAGCATTGGACATTATTTCAGTTTGCCGACTTCTTGGCTTGTTTTGTCGGTGAAGCCTTGAAAGGTGTAGTGTACATTTGAAAGGTTGTGTATTCAGTGTCAGCTTCGGTTTCAGTTTCTGAAGGCTCCGATGCAGTCGGGTTGGCCGATGTGGTTGTGGCGTCCGTGGAGGGATTGACAAGGAGAGGAGGTAGTCCAAGCTGGGCTCTCCTTCTTGTTTCCGATCGAGTGAGCAGTGGCGTCGATGTAGATGGTGACCGAGGCATAGTGGATATAGTGGTGCGGCAATGCCGACGGATGTAGTGGCAACGGTAGTGAGCGGCAGTGGGCGGTAATGCCGATGGATGTAGTGGCAGCGGTAGTGGGCGGTAATGCCGATGGATGCAGTGGCAGCGGTAGTGAGCGGCAGCGGTAGTGGTTACGGTAGTGGTTACGGTGATGGTAGCGGTAGCGGTAGTTGTGGTCGCTGTAGGCACTTACAGATGTAGTGGTGCGGTAACGGTAGCGGTGGTGGTAGTGGTAGTGGTGGTCGCTATTGGCACTTACAGATGTAGTGGTGCGGTAGCGGTAACGGTAGTTGTGGTCGCTGTTGGCACTTACGGATGCAGTGGTGCGGTAGCGGTAGTTGTGGCCGCTGTTGCACTTACGGATGTAGTGGTGCAGTAGCGGTAGTTGTAGCCGCTGTTGGCACTTACAGATGTATTGGTGCGGTGGCAGTAGCGGTGGTAGAGATGGCAGGAGCAGTGGCGGTAGCGGTAATGGTAGTGGCCGTGGTAATACTGGCCGTGGTAGTGGTAACAGTAGCGGTAGTGGTAATACTGGCCGTGGTAGCGGTAACAGTTGAAATCCTGGGTATGTTGCGGATGAATACTGTAATGCTGGGTTAAACTCGAAGCACTGAATGATGGTGGAGAGGTTGTGATAGAGGCTCTGGAACACCATCTTTCGACCATAGGTTCGGGTGATGCTTGGGATGATGAGGTTAGAGTTGACAGCATGGATACGAGAGATTGTGTGGATATCTCTATCTACGACGTTATGACGGAATGTTTCCGTTTGTGATGATGTGATGGAGGGAGAGAACTATTGGATATCGCTGTCTACCTACAAGTCCTCTACATCTCACAGATTCTTCCTCGTTTCTAATCCTATCTTGTCATGTGAAGAATGGGTCGATGCAAGCAGTGTTGATGCGTGCTGTTTGGGGCAAGCGATGAAATCCATGAGGCCTTGACGAGCGACGATTTAAATTGCAAGTGAGGCATTGACAAGGACAAGGATAGTGAGGACGGTGGTGGAAAACTGCATTGTAGGTTTCTGCTTTTCCTTGGGTGTACGTTGCGTATGGTTGTGCCTATTGAGCTTCGTTGTTCGCTTTGGTAAGGGAGCGGTTATCCGTTGAAGTATTGTGAGCCGACGTTGAAATCAATGCCGACTGAAGTTGCTAGCAGGTTCTGGGTGCATGGAAGGTGTTGAATGCGGCGCCGATAAGATAATGGAGCTGACGCAGCTGTATCCCGAAATGGAGTTGGTTCAACGGTGTGTCGAGACATTGAGGGTGGCAGATGCGATACCAGCCCCGGCGATGTGCTGAGTGATGGACAGACGTGAACAGACGCGATGATGCGCCGAAGTGCAGCGACGGTCGTTGAAAGGGATGTTGAAGGGTGGCGGATGTGATACGTGCTGTAGTGGATAGAGGCGATGATGTGTCGTAGTGGGACAGACACGAAGCACAAGTAGTTCAACAAGGAGAGGAGGTAGTCTGAGTTGGGCTCTCCTTCTGTCTCCGAGCGAGCGAGTAACGGTGTAGACGGAAGGCAAGATATAGGAGTAGTGTGAGGTGTG